ATGGTGGTGGGTTGGGGGGGAAGGAGGCTACATTTATCCAGAACTAAGTAAGCACCTGTAGCAGTCATGAGGAAAAGAGCTTCTTCATTTTTCCTTCTTTTAGCTTTTTTAATTCTTAGTTGTGATGAAAGGGGCAGCACTTGGGAAATGAGGAAGGAGTACGTCTGATGCTCATAGAAAACTCCTTCAATGTGTTGATAATGTCCCAGGTCTTTAGACCCTGCTTTAAACTATCATCGAGGGTTTGAATAAATAAATTGCATAGATCAGACACACATACAGATCAAGGGGAAAGTGGATGGTAAACAATACAGTGTGGGAACAAATATGTTCTCCTAGATACTTTTTTTTTTACTGGTGATTTGCACACAGTAGGTAAATTGAATCCCTAGGTGCTTGGGAAATCTTGTGGTTAATCTTGGACTGAAGGACATGTATTATAAATATTGCTTTATTATCATACTGTTTGTCCAACTACCTGTACTGATAACAGGATTAGAGGGAATTAACATATGGAGAAAGATAAAGACAGTTTGTTAGGATATATATTATGGCTATTAACTCTAGGAGTACCAGTGAAGTACCTGTAGTCTGATATAGAGCTACATATTTTGGACTAGATTTTTCTTTCATAAAAGGTAAGTCAAGCCCAACATCACTGATGTTTAGGAGAAATTTCCATGGGAAAGGTGCAGAGGTGCAGATGCAAGGGGGACCATGCCCCACGTCTAGGTAATACACCAACATATGAAACAGTGTCATGAGGGATAAATATGACCCCTGTGTCCAATGATAATATTTATAGGGTTGCATTAATTTAAGTACAAATTGAAAAGCAAATGTTTAAAAACCATTTGGTGTAACAACCTGACATCTCTGCTATGCATGCCACTGAAATATGTGCCATGATATCCCCCAGGCTCACTCTTCTCTCACTGTGACATAGACAAGAACTCCCAGGTTGGAATAATATTTGAAGAAATGGCTTTTCAAAATTTTAAATTTTATTTTAAATCTCAAGGAGAATTAATAGCAACTTGAATGTAAAAAGAAAGAAGAAATAGGAAAGTAAAAACCCTTCCCAAAACTGGAAAACTCAAAGATCTGGTTGACTATTTTGGCTCAGATGCTACTCATACCAGGTCAGATCCTTGGCAGGGACAAGCTGATTTCAATCAAGAATCCCTCTTTTGTCCACTAAGGATGGGCCCCGAACGTGCGCGCAGAGGACGCAGTGGCTCCTCTCTCCCACTCGCTGTTGACACACAGCCTGCTCCTTTTGGCCGTCCCCCAGCCTGTCCTCAGGGTCTCCATTCTGCCCCACCTTTTTTTTTTTTTTTTCTTTTTAGTTTGGCTGGCAAATATCATTTCCACAGCCTTAAAAGACTGGGAGCTTTTTATCTGCCACAGAAGTACCGCGGAAGGGGAAAGAGGGGAAAGGTTCCTGCATGGTGGAAGGCCGGAGCCCCGGCGCTGTTCAGCATGGGGGCGCAGCGAGAGCCCGCTGGTGGTTTGGACACCTGTTTGCTGCACATGCCACGGCCCTCAGCCCACTTGCTTGGCCTTTTTACACAGGACTCAGCCACCTACCAGGTGATACTGGTTTCTTCTCTGGTTGGTTGTTTTGTGGGTTTTTTTGGTTTTGTTTTTATTTTGGTGATTATCCCACTGGGCTGGATTGAAGCTGAGTCGAATTTTGGCTCTTCTGCAAGGCATGACTGAGCTGCAGGCTCTTACCCCAGGGCTGAACTGGCCCCTCTGTTCCTTCCTAATGCACATTAGACACATTGGGGCCTTTCTCCGCTGTGCATTTGTGACTCCCATTGACGCTAATGGGTGTGACATGTGTCTATCCAGCGGAGAATAGACCCCATTGACTACAGCAGTTCCCTGGCCTTGAGCGGTGCTCGTCACTTGATTAAGCCAAACTAATGAGGCACGACCAGGGCCAATGGGAATGTGTGGGACTCAGGCATTGCAAAAGCTGATGGAAACCTGCAGCTTTGCTGGGGGCTGGGTTTTGTTATGCCAGGCAAAGACACGGGATGCCATGGGATGGAGTGCACAGGAACAGGTGCTGTCACAGACATGAACAGTGCAGAGAGGGTTCACACTGCTGATGACAGCACCCCAAATTGCCCTCTTTGAGTGGTAATTACATGTGAGAGTGTCTTGTGTGCTCAGCAGGGTTTAAAACTGGTTTGGTCTTGGCTCTTGCTCAATGTCTCTCTACGCTTCAGGATCTGAATTTGGCCCTGTGGCTCTTTTTCTGGGGCATGCGCATGGGGCATTTTTGGCTCTTTAGCAGATAGTCCAGTGGTTAAGGTAGGCAGTATCCTCTTCACCAACACTGAACTTCATCAGCTTGGGGAATGAGAAAGGTGGGGGAGACACTGTAGTAAGTGCTTCTTGCAGATTGCCCACCCTGCAAGAAGACCTCTTGGAGTCATAGGTGCTCTATGGTGCTCTCCCTCCCGTGCATTGCTGGTCACCTCCTCCAAGTGTGGATCACCAGCTGTACTTGGGAGAGGCCAGAGGAGTGTGCAAGGCTGGAGCCTCTTTTGCTTTGACTGGGCCCAAATCACCCAAACTGGGCCAGATACAAGAATGCAAACTCCAGGCACATACTTGCAAGTTCAGCCTCAATCCAAGTGTGACTGTGCTTGCAGAGAAACAGGCTGGGAGAAAATCAGGAGAGTGACACCTAAAGAACTGAGAGCACGGACATGGCCTCCCATGAACAGGCACATACCCCATACAGACACAAAATGCTACTTGCTGAACTGAGGCCAGGAACTCTGGCCTTCCTGCAAAACACAGCATCATCCCAAACCACTGTGGTAATGTGAGGGCATAACCTGATAGGCCAGGGCCAGACTACAAAGGCATATAGGTCAGATGTAGGTCTCGAGATAAAACACTAAGCGTTAAGAAAAAACTCAGTTCTATTTTAAGACTTGCTGTTTTGGAGAGCCTGGGTAAGAAGTTGCCTGTACTTTCCCCTGTACTTTACCTACTGGTACATTCCAGGTCAGAGGAGGTTTGTATTTTTGTCATATTGCAATACTTACCTTTATGTAAGCGCTGCTAAGAATAAAATTAGCAGTGGGAGAAAAACATCAGTTTGATGTCTAAATTTAGAAAACTTGATGAATAAATCTATTAACTTCTTTGTGGGGAGAGAAAGGAATAGCAACCCTTTGCTTAAAGAAAAGATAAAATAAATATAAAATCAGAGCTGATTGCCCTCTCTGGTTTTCGGAGGTGGGTTCTTAAACATTCTCTTGTCCCCTTCAGAGGATAAATATTAATTGACTCGATTCATGGAACTACGGCTTGAGAAGATATGGTCAGTTGGATCTGAGAGGCTTTGACATGATTATCAAATGCTTTCAGTATTTGTGAAGGTAGAGAGCAAAGGGGGAAGGAGGGTTTGTCCACTTGAGTAGGTGTCCTCCCAGGAAGCAAGCTCCAGCTGTTCGGCACCGCTGCTGTCCTCGCTGGCACGGTCACAGCAGGCAGCCCCCTGTCCAGGACACTAATTAATCAGCAAGGAGGCTGTGACAGGAAGCAGCACGGGGCTCTCTGAGGTTTGGCAGGGAGAATCCAAGCGTAAAACTGCCCCAAGCACCACAAGTTTCTTCCTGTCCCTGCATCCTGGGCAGTGTGGGACTATGTGCCCCAGTCAAGCCCCATGGTGATCACAGTACACATAAGTGTCTTTTGGCTTTGTCCAGAGCTCTAGATGATGCTGCCATTTGCACCTTGCAAGGCAGGTACCTTTTTCTGCCTGCCCCAAACTTCAGCACAAGTCCGCATCACAGACCGTAACATTTTATGGCAAGAACTGTTTTCCTTTGCCCAGTATCTCTGGCAGCTGTACCTATCATTTTTCTTGGCATATCCAGAACAGGTCATTTTTACCTTTATGGGTAAATTAGAGATTACTAATTAAGAAATTGAGGTTGAAAACAACAGGTTAGAAATTAAAAGATTTATTAGATACCAGACTAATACAATCCTTGTCTATCTTAAGTAGTGGATAGTTTCCTAGTCATCTGTTATCCTAATTCACCCCTGTAAATCTTTTTGGAGTAGGAAGCTGGCATACAAATGTGAATATCCTGTTTAGTTCTTCTTCCCAAGTGGCAACCTTGGGTGCTTAACAACCCTTTCATCCTCCTATTTCATACTGAATTTGCTGAACATGGAGAAGAGGCAGTGCATAAACTAAGCAAATAATGTTTATGTTTTTCCTATAGCTGCTCTTTGGACACCTACAGGTCATTAATTTCTTTGTTTCTAATCAACCTGCCAGCTAGCAGCTCTCCTGGCCAGTGTGATCTGCTCCCTTTGTGCAGGCTGCTGACCTATTCCCACTGAGCCATGCTACAGGATGTGTTCAGGAGGCATCAAGACTCTTGGGACATTACTAGCTTTTTGCTGAAACTAGAAGGGATATAAGTGATACAGTCATAATACGGATAACCAGGAGCTCTGTCTGTTTTCCCACCCTACCCTCCGTATATTGACAGTGTTAACTGAAAGAGTAATACCATTAGTTTGGTGGGGACATGGGGCCATGCTAGCAGGTGGATGTCACTGCTGAAAAGGGACTAAGAGCTATGCTGTGACTATAGATCCATCACACAAAAGCCCAAAGCTGTTACTGCAACCTCCAAGAAACAGCCTCTGGTGATGGAAAGAAAATCAGCGTCATCTCATGACACTGCTGTTCCTGTAGGCTGTGAATTTAAAATAAGGCAGGCTGAGGAAGGGAGCATGGAAATCCCTGCTGATCAGGAGTGAGACTGTTTTTCTCCTTTAAGAACATTTGCTCAGCTTTTTAATTTCCAGTGTTTCCAGTTGCCATATCAACCTGAGAAATTCACCTGGCAATTGATAGCTCATTTTTCAATGGAAGATCATAAAATTTAGGTGCATCAGTTCAGCATTTGTTTGCTGGGACTTCACTTTATCTTATTTTACTTTATTTCCAGTATTTGATTCCCAACCAAGGATCCCCACCCTCCCTTTGCCCAGGCACATCTCAGGTTCAGCAGCCCACGTGCAGAAGCGAGGCACCAGGACAAATACCAGTAGCTGGGATAAAGCCTGCAGGACACATCCCGCAATCTGGGAAAGGCCAAAAGCATCAATGGAAACACTCTGGCTGGAGATAAGTGGTAGCTTCAGCTTTTATGTTGCTCTGAAGAACAGGCACAGGAGGCACAGTGGAGGGAAGGGAGGTTGCTCCTGGCTTTGCTGTTGAACAGTGTGTTGGTTTTCTTGGAACCTGCATCTGCATCCAGCACCATCGAGGTGAGGAAGAGCAGGGTGGGGAGGGAGTCTGCACTCACTCTCAGTGGTAGTCTAGAAACTTCCATGTCCTCTTTCCAGCCCATCCCTGGCCTTTCATGGGTCACTGGTGTAAATGGGGACTAATCTGCCCCAGTGCAGATGAATCTGCAGGGACTTTTCTGTGGTGAATGTATCGTTTGGTTTGTTGTGGGTTTGTGGTGGGTTTTTTTTTCTTTAAACAGAATAAGAATGGGAAACAAGAAAGTCAAAAAGCCCTGAATCTTTATCTTTTTTAAGTGGAGACACCACCACAGCAGGACATAATGGCTTGCTGTGGTGGTGGTGGTTTGTCTGAGAGCCTGGAGATTTATGTAATGAGAAACACAATTCCTGCAAAGAACATTGTTAAATCTTTTCAAAATTTCAGCTATAAGCCATTTTATTGCTAATAATATGGCTAGATTCTTCTTTTGAAGAATCTGGGAATGTTTGACAAGTGGGGAAAATGGAGAGGACTTGAGGCACCATAATCTGTATTTTCCATTTACCTTGCTTGAAGCTTGAACAACACATGTGCCACAAATGATTTGTTTATTCCTAAGCACCCCCAAGGAGCCCAGTCTCCATTCTCAGGCATATAATGGCTATTCAAATGAAAGCTTTAATAGGTTGTTGCAGATCTGATATCAATGCAGCGAGAGAAAAAGATATGCAAATATTCGAAATTAAACAAACTTGCTCCTGCCCTTTGCCTTTGGAGGTGCAGTTTCAAATCTGGATGGTGTCACCAATGCAATGAGTTTGCTAGATTCAGCTCTCTGGAGAACTAGTTCCTTTTTCACCTTTTTTCCCCCCCACTTTGCCTCACAAAGCTTTCACATTGTTTGAAATATTTTCTGTCTCTAGCACTCACGAGGAAGGAGAGCCCCAACTGGGGCTGAAATACATGATGTGTTCAGATTTGAGGCTGAGGAACATTGCTGGGAGAAGCTCCTGCTGTGCTAGTTTGTTCCACATCTTCTTAAATCAAGGCCCTTAACCTCAGTGCCTTCTCCTGGGCATTTCCCCATGCTGTAGAAACAGTTTTGGAAGAGTGACACAGACAAAAGTCCAATTAGGGATTTCTGTCCACACTGCAAGACAAATCAGAGGCTTCACTGTTCTTAACATGGCCCCTGCTCCTCTTTTGCTCCATGTAATGTGTGTGTGAGCCAGGCCCAAAAACCACTTCAAAAATGTAAAAATAACATGTCATCCACCTAACCACTGAAACCGAGCCAGCAGCTACCGAGTGCATTGAACAGCGGGGAAAAATAATAATTTTACATCAAAAACATCATAAAAGTTTCCAATGTCTTCCAGGCTCTTGTAAAACTGCTATTATCTTGTCCAACCCCCAAGGCTTTTCGCACGTTTATCAATTATGCTGTGTGGATTTCAGAAAAGGCAGTGCCTGGAACGTGGGTGCATCGCGCAGACGGCAGCGGGAGCGCGGCTGTGCCGGGTCCGCAGGACATCCACACACACCTCGGCTCTGCTGCCAGCTCCCAGCACGGGGGCAGAATCCCTGGAGCATCCCCGTACCTCTGTTGCCCTCCCATCTTCTGTGCGTGATCACAAGAGCTTTGAAGCAAAGCTTATTCCATCGTTACTGCTGGTGAACCAAACTTTGTCAGCAATGACGAGGGGCACTCAACCTAAAATATCTCCAGATACCTGCAAACATTTAGGAAACCCCTGAGTTACAGTGTGAGCAATGAGAAACGAAGAGAGAGTCCAGTGCTCAGCAGGAAGCATGAGGAGGACCTTGCTTTGGTTGGGTCATGTGGACAGTCTTCTGGCTGTGGTAGGTACCAGAGTATGTTGGAAGTAGTGTGGGAAAGTGGGTTTGCATCCCAGAGACTTGATGCTCTGCCCCACTGACGTTAGCCAAGGCTGGGCACCTCAGGGTTTCAAAGGGGAGGATCTGATGAAGGCACATGAAGAAGAGGGCTTCAGAAAACAAACCCCCAACTTTAGTTTAGCTATTCACAACTTTAATTTGTTGTTGTTTCCTTCAGAACCAAGGAGAGAAAATGCCCAATAGCCCAAATCATAAGGAAAAGATCTTCCTGTACAAATGTGAACAGTATTGTACAGAAATGTTCCCCAAAACTGTATTTTGTGAGAGTACTGGGAGCTGTGGCCAAATCCCATATTTGAATGTGGCTAGACAGTTGGAATTAAAGGTGATCTCTGGCCATGTTTAAACACGAACTAGGCCATAAGCTTCTTATGGGCTGTGGTTACAGAAGAAAAAAAAAGGCTGACTCACAGTGGGAGAGCACAAGGCTGGAACATTCCCATGCAATCCTCCCTGCTCTCCAGAGGTGTCTGGCTTGTTCCTAGAGATCCTGGACACCCAGTCCTCCCACATACCTCCCTGGACACTTGCAGATCATTAGTATTTCTGAAAGACTGACTTAAAGGCTGCAGATGAGAAGTGTTTCTTTTGGCCTGTCAGTAGCCAAAACAGAAGAAAGAAAACAGAATTCTCCAAAGTTTTTCCAAAATGCGCGCCCAATTCAAACAGACTCATCCGGCTTCCTTGCAAGAATGATTCCCAGATCACAGCTAAGTCTAGCACAGATTTTGCCAATCATATCATTTCTGCATTGAGCTAAGCAGCGTGCAGAAGCAGACTTGTATTTTTGTAATTAAAAATATTCATTAAAAGCTGATACATTTTGTAGGAAGCTCTTGATTTTGACCAACCTCATTTTCAGTTTTAAACATTTTTACTTGATCAGCATTTCATAATGAAATATATTCTTTTTTAAAGAGAAACACATGATTCCATAGGGAAAATGCTTTAAGGATAAAATAATATTTAAGCATGAAGTAAACCAGCATCTAACCAGTTTTTGTTTCTTTCAGACACCCCAATCTTCAGAAACTGAGATTACCAATTCTGGTCCTATTTAAGACTGGGGAGAAAATGCAAAATTCTGAAATGTTTGCAAGGTTGGAAAACAGCTTTCCACTAAGTTCTCCTCAGATGAGATTGCAGAAATTCTTCTGTTTTCTTCTTCCTGCCTGGCTCTGTTACCAAGCAATTCTGTTCACACTGTTCTCCAAGACAAAATCTGAGCCAGACTGAGATTTGTGTTGATGGTGAGTGCCTGCCTTTCGTTTTTTCTTTCTTTAAGTAAAACAATTTCCTAAGGCTTTGAAATGGGGCTGATAAAAAGCAGCTTTTAAAATGCATTTTAGTAAATAGTTTGAAACCAGACCATAAAGTCTCGTAACTGTAGGTTTGTACTTAATTATACTTCACTGACAGCCAATTTTCCTTCTCCTCTGCAACCAGTCTCCTTTTTCTTTAAGAGCAAAACATATTGTATGCTACTTTTGAAAGATTTGTGGGGTTTCACACAAATTGAACAAGATCTGTAGGTAAACAGTGTCACCTAGTGGATAACTGGCATCGATTTTCCCAAAGTGTGGAAGAAGTTTGGCCGTGTGGGTTTTCCATTTTGTCCTAGAAAAAATATTATTTGAAACTGGAAAGAGTCCTGTACTGAGAAATGGGATCGTTGCCAAATGGCTGCAAATCCAAAGACGCATAAAGCAGTGGCCAGCACTGAGAGGGATATTTGTCATGTGCATGGGCACAGATCCAGTCCCATCAGCAGATACAAAGGGAAGAACTGATTCTCCAGCTCAGTGCCTGAATAGCAAAAGGTTAAAGCAGCACATCCTGAAACATTTATTTCCTGGATGTGTAGAGGTGTACTGGGCTCCACATTATCTCCTGCACCATCAGCTGCCCCTCTCTTGCTTTCTCACAAAAGCATGTCAGTAGGTGCCTTTGCTGTGTGATTAGCCAAGCCTTCTGAGCAGCAAAAGTAAAAAAAAAAATTTGCAAAGTCCTTGAGGTGAGAGATTTGGCAGAGAGCATCTGAATGCAGGAGAAAGAGAATAGGCTCCATGGAAAAATCTCTCATCCTGAGGGGGTGGAATGATGACTTTGGGGATGTGGTGGCAGGTATCTGTGAGAAAAGCTGCCCAGAGAAAGCAAGAGACAAGATAGGCTTGAAGAGCCTTCTGAGTTAGAATTAACAGGTCAGAAAATCAGGACACGATAGCCTCAAACAAGGGTAAAATTCTCCAAAAGGATGAATATGCTCCTGAAAACTAAAATGAAGTTGGATATCCTGAAGACCACTTAACAGCACTTAGGATTCTGCTTTCTAATTAACTTTTTGTCAGGATCCCTTGGGGTCAAGATGAATTTGAACCAAAGCACTGGAAGAAGGAATAAATATAAACAGAACTGAGACAAAAATGGAGAAATGTTCTTCACACTTCTAGAAACTCCTGGGTGAAAAAAAAAATTGTAATTCAATCAACAAAGGTGAGAACTCAGGCAACTCAGTTACAGGTATTCAGCTGGGTTTGTGCAGGTTGGGTGGGAAGTGGAGCTTTTATGTTCTACCTCTTCTTCCTCCTCCTGTAACATCATCTTTGCAGTTTCTAACAACTGCATTTGTTTCTTCTGAGAATCCCACTGATATCCCTACTCCTTTCCTCACACTGAAAAGGAATGTGAAGAAGAGCAAAAGAATGGTTCCAGAGGTGACTCTTCCCTGTCCAAGAGGCAGCAGGTGGGAAAAAGTGAAACTGCCTGTCCAAAAGCTCAATAGTTGGCCTGCAGGATATTATCAGCTTCTTCTTAACCAGTCATGAAGAAGAGCAGGATTCCTGTATTACTGGACTGTGAGAACATTTCCAGAGTGAACATTTAGACCCAGGTCTTATGTTGACATGGATTTGGTCAAAGCAATAAGTCAGAGCATTTTGAAGAATATGTAAATGCACGTTAGAATTGCAGTCAAAATGATAAATATCTAATTTTCATAGGTCAGGAAACCTGAGCTCTAGCACTTAATTACCTTCCAAATAAAAGGAAAATAGTGATTGATTGTTATGGCAGATTGTTCTGCTAAGTCAGTGTTTGGCCTCTGTTTTCTTCACTTTTGTCATGTATCAAATGGATGGTCTGTCATTCTTCTCCAAAAGGGGGAAAGTGATTATTGTGTAAAGCCCAAAGGAGCTCTGTATACAGGCAAGCTAAAATATGCTGCAAGTCGGGACACTTTCTCACCTGAGCATACACTGTTTCCAAAACAAACACTGGCATAACTGTATTTGCTCAGTTTGTGCAGTTTTCCTTCAAAGTATTTCATGCTTCTTTTTTGTACTAGTCTTCTTGGACCAGTTCCCACTGACTGAATCCATGGAAGGCACCACCTTCTACTGGTCCTTACTGTGGGTATTGGCAGGCACAGACTTCCTTGCATCACTTTGGTTGCTCTGTGCCTCAGTTTACTCCTCCACTAATGTAAGTTCTACTCTGACTTTCCACAGTGCTTTTATTCTTGGGACCTCAGAGCAATTTTCTTTGCTATCTTCTCTCAGACAGTCAAACCATTACTAAAATCAGACACTTACCATTTTTCCCTTCTCAAAGATAAAATGGTAGTAATTCCTTTGCTCATTAAAGTGTAAATGGAGAGGAATCCTGTTGAGTTCAGTGATACTATGAGATGTAAAAGCACTGTATGAGGTCAGAATCTTCCCATGTGAGTTACAAGTGCAAAAAACAGTGAGTAAAAAGCTTGAATGGGTCAAGGATCCCACTCCTGGGAACAACAGAGGGAAGAAATAGAAGTAGCACCTGGAAAATGCTGCTCTCATCAAGAGAGGCCTCCTCCCCTGCAAATATCTGCTAACTCTAATATTAAACAAATAGAAATTTATCTATTATGTGGAATCATCTTTTGCTTTTTTTCACAGAGACACTCGTAGAACAGCTTGGACTTTATTTTTCATAAAAATTTTTAAACATAACTCTTGTTCCACCAGGAAATTGTCATTTCTTCAGCCAAGAACATCTCATCTGGAGTATGAGGAGGGATGGCATTCTCTGTAACAGTATGCAAAGACAGGCTAAACATCTTAGCATTCCCAGGCTGGATCCAGCTCTGCTTTCAGCAAACCCCTTGGATGCTCTTACTTGGCCTCCTGGCTGCGTGTGCTCCCATATCCATGTGCTCCAATGGCACCACTCCCAGCCCAGGGTGGGCTGCCAGGGCACAGGTACTGCCTAAAGAGGGTTTTTGGCAGGCAGTCTGTGTAAAACTGAGAGTGCTGCTGCCTGGATATGACATTCCCTTCCCTCTGTGATAGCAGCACACAGGAGAGCTCCCAAGCCCCATTTGGACCCGTTTACACACACGTAAGCCAAAAGGCAGGAGAAGACAACTGTGAGGGCAAACCTCGAGCCAAAAAGGTACATTGCATTGCTCAAGTAGATGAGGAACCTCTGGCAGCCAGGAAAGGACATAAAAATATAATCACATTAACATCCATCCTTCAGGCTGTCTGGGTAAATGAAGATCCTGGGCAAGCAGCAAGCTGAGGAAATGGGTTGGTTGTGGAACACTCTGTGTCTGTGTGTGAGGCCATATTTTACCCATTTAAATGATCAGCACACAAGAAAAGCCAAACACGAGGCTTCCAAGCTGTCTGCATCCTGTCCTTCAAGGTGGCTTCATCCTCTAAGTAGTCACATTCCTGAGTACTGCGGAAATTTGAGGAGCTAATCATTTCCTCTGACTCAAAAGCAAAACAGCAAAGCAAAAACAAAACAAAAAATACTCAGCATCTTCCTGAAGCTCCACGTTTAAATCTGTTTTTCAGTGTGTACAGCATTTGTTTATCCCATAAGCAGTTTCTCAGGGTGACTCAGCTTAGGGCATCGGCTTGAGGAACTTCGACAAATTTGAAGAGAAAGCTTGGAGAAACTATGAAAAACTCCACATTTCCTCACCTTCCCTCCCAGCTGCCCATTCAGATTTTCCAGGAATGCTATGAAATAAGCTTTTTAACTCCATTACTAGTTCACATCCAGTTCTGGAGGAGTTTGTGCCTTACCATGAGAAAACCCTTGGCAGCTTTGGGAGGTGGCTCTCAGACAGGGATCATTCAGAGGCATCTCCAAAATATTAGCAGATCTCAGGACATTTGCACGCGAAACAACCATGTGAAAATCCATCACTGCTTCTTACTTTACTGGTTTAAGGCTGACTGGCTGTAGACCCTAATTTTCCCTCTTGTTCCTTGGGGTGGAAAGCAGGGTAGGACATTAATGAGGCAACCAGAAAGATGTGGCACCGCTTCTGTATGTGCGCGACTTCAGTCTCCAATAGTTTCATTCCAGCACCTTTCCCTACAGTAAATGCAGTGAATATTCTTGTTCCTGTTTTAAAGGCAGCATTGAATGGGATGTTTTAAGCTGAGAATATTTTCCCAGCTCCTGGAAAGGGTTAGACACACAGCCCTGAGGTTGGCCAAGTGTGTGATTGCCATCAAACTAAGCAGCCGTGTTCAGCTTGTCTTGGATTTCTTTATATGAGACAAGGGATGATTCATAAAAGGAAATGCTGAGGCCACACAGGTTGTTAAGTCTCTAGTCTAACCAGGTGTAATGACTGAGGTTCTGCAGTTAAGGCAAAAAATAACAGATCATGGGTCAAATCCATCCCTGATGCAACTCCAGCATCGTCAGTAAGAGTTATCCACGTGTGAATCTGGCCCCATGTTCCTCACTCGTACAATAAAGCAAGATCCCTCCTGCAGCAGAATCAATTGGGAAAAGGAGAAGAGAAAAAATGCTTCTTTCTTGCCCACATTAAAAATAATCACTTTTTTTCTTGCACAATGGGGCAGAGAAAACCAGTCCTAGAAACCAGAGTACAATTTCCTCAGCATGTCATAGGGAGGAGAGGAAGGGGGGTGAATTGGCATAACCAAGAGGTTGCTTTCATTTTTGTTCAGTTCCAAACGATGCAGGGAAGAGGGGAAAGCAAATCTAGATATCTATATCTGTCTATATCCATCTATATCTATATAGATATCTAGTTCTGCTTTCCCCTCTTCCCTGTATCTATATCTGTAATATATCTAAATATAGATATCTGTAGATAACCATATATGTATATAGTTAGATATATTTGTACTTCCTGGGTTAAGTCAGCAGTGTGAAACCTGCAGGTTTTTAGGAGAAATTTTGCACAAACACAGACTGATTTAGGAAAAAAAGGGCTATATTCCTTCTGTTGATTAGACTTGTTGTTTAAAAATAGTAAAATATATCTGGTTTAATTGCCTGCTAGAGTTTTCACTGCTGCAACACGTCTTCTGTCTCAGCTTTGCCTTCCCATTTGCCGGGTCGGTTGTGTACGTGAGCTCTAAGGGAATGCAGAAAAGCCACCTGAGGGAGAAAATTGCTAATCACTAAAAATTACTAATCCTTCTTTCACACTAAACAAACCCCACTGAGAGGTTTTTAGTTACACAAAGGTGGATTTTTTTTGTTCTTTTCCGTCTCTCCTCCAGCTAATGATACAGATGTGCAAAATGCAGGATATCACATCCTACTAAGCATTAGCTGCAGAATTTTCAGGCGATAAGATCTGAGTCCAAAATAAAAGCACAGTAGCATGAAAATCTTCTACTGCACACCACTAGCACTTTGCAAACAAAATGGCAGGAAAAGCAATTCACACAGTCATAGAATAACCTTTCCAAGGTTATTTGTATTCCAGAAGCAATAAGGTCCCCTCTGAGACTGTGGCCCCCATGTAACTGCCCACTAAAAAAAGCATACAACCTAAACAGACAAGGCAGAAAGTTGGAAGAAAAATATACAATTTGATCTGGAATTCTTACAGCCCAGAAACTCAGAGTATGTGCTTTTCTCAAGGTCACATGGGACCCCTCTAGTGGAATTAGAGGCTAAACCCACTTCTGCATCCCAGGGTCCCAATCAGAGGAGCCTGCTCCCTCCCAACTCCCCTCTCCCAGCACCACTGCCTGGCTCTTAGAAGGCCTTTGCTGACACATCCAGGGAATGCAGAACTCTTTCTACCCATTGTACCTCCACAAATCCATTCACATGTAAAACTGCTCATTTGTCTTCGCCAAGGATGCTTCTCCATACATTTCACTGGCTAAAGTTCCTGTACATTCCATGGCAGAGTAGCAGCAGCAGGTGGGTGGCAGTGAGGGGCTCCAGGTGCTGGTGTACAGCTCCTTCTGCAGGAGGGCACCTCACTCCTGCAGCTCCCCTGGCCTCCCTCATGCCATGTGTCCCATTGCAGGAGCTATATAGAAATTATGACGGCTGACAGCACTGTTTCCTGGGGAGTTTCCAGAAAAACAGGCATTCCCGACCTAACAACTGGGTAACTGAAACTGAGGGGCAAGGAATTCACCATAAAGAAAAAAATCAGTGGCAGCCCTGCTGTGTTTAATTATGACATAAATGTATTAAATAAATAAATAAATAAATAAAAATCAGGCTGTATACCTCTGCTGATTCTATTCCACTTTGGGCCTCAGAGCACAGCTGAGAACCATCTGCTGGCCTCTTTAGAAAATACTCCAAGCTTTGGATTTCCCAGCCCATACAGGGCAGCCAGGCTTTCCTCAGGCTCAACTGCTATGGCACAGCCCTGCAGGTGTCATCTCCCAGCACTGCAGCATTCCTGCTTCCCACTTAAATAGGAAGAAAATTAAGGTGACAAAATTACCTTCTTTTCAGTCTGTCATCAACAGCTTTATTGCAACATGGTTATGGATACTCTGAAGAGGAACTGCTTAATTTATGTTGACACATTGGGGTTTGATTCTCTGGACCAAATTCAGACCTTTTTTTCAGAAGATTTTTATTTCTGTCCTGTTTCCTTCTGATTTTTTCCCTGTATCTGTGAGCACAGCAGATATCATCTAAACCGAAGCAAATAGAAGCACAATGTGGTTTTTATCACTGCTCTAAAATAGTCTGAAACTCACCTCTTTGTGTCAGCTGTGCTTATGCACGTTGCAAAACACGAG